CGATGCACTCATAGTGCTCCGGCACCACCCCCGCCTTGCTGTAGCACGCCTCACACAGGTCAAAGTCGTCCTTCCTGCACAAGCCATGCACGGGAATTGCAAAGCTCTTCAGGATCACATGCCCCGGATAAGGGAACGGCAGTAACAACAAGGGAATTATAAAGTATAAACGAGAGAAAAAAAAAACAGCAAAAAAAAAAAACGGGAAGAAGCAAGAGGAGTGTGCTGGGAATGAAGAAGGCGATGCACTCACACAAGGGAGCGGTATCGCTTGCCCTGGATGGGGCGATTGTCACAGCCGTCACAGATGATGCCGTAATGCACTGCCTTGGCAGCCTCACTCGCTCCCTGTGCAGCACCGCCTTGGGGCGCAGCAGCAGAGGCGGATGCTGTCGCTGAAGCAGCAGCAGCGGCAGCAGTACCAGCAAAACAAGCAGCATCCTTCGGCTTGACAGGGAAGTAGACCTTAGCAGGCGGGGGCTTCTCGATGCATTCATAATGCTCTGAGATGGATCCCTCCTTGCTGTAACATGCCTCGCACAGGTCAAAGTCATGCTTCCTGCACAGGCAACGTGCACAAGCAATGGTAACAAAAAAAAAAACGGTTACTAGAAGATAAGAATTTATGAACAGATAGGAAACCAGGCAATAAAACACCCAAACGACAAAACATAATAAGCAAGGCTGCATAAAAAGATTACGCAGCATGGGAAGAGCCAACAGGTAAACTGTTTGCAGAGAAAGGGCTCTCAAAAAGCAATGCTTACACGAGAGAGTGGTAGCGCTTGCCCTTAAGAGGGCGCATGTCACAGCCGTCACAGGTGATGCCGTAGTGCACTGCCTTGCCACTCTCACTCGCAGAATCTGAGGCCGACGCAGAAGCTGCAGCAGCAGCAGCCGTGGCAGCAACAGCAGCAGCAGCGGCAGCAGAAGCGGCAGGAGCAGGAGCAGGAGCAGGAGCAGTAGCAGAGGAAGTGGCAGCGTCCTTAGGCTTGAGATCGAGTGTGTCTGCTGCAGCAGCAATCGCAGCAGCCACTGCAGAGGTCGCAGCAGCAACATCAGCCGACACCGCAGCGGCAATATCAGCAGCAGCAGCGGCCGAATCAGCAGCGGCAGCAGCAGCAGAATCCGCAGCCACGGCAGCAGCAGCAGCGGGAGAAGCAGATGAGGTGGAAGGCTTAGAAGACCCACAACCGCCGCTGAATCCCCCATGCTGCTGCTGCTGCTGGCGACGGTGGTGCATCTCCAGAATCGGCTCAAACACCACGTCAAGCCCGCTCCGCCGCGCCGTCGCCAGAACCTGCGCAATCTTCCCAGGAGCATCCTTGAGAATCGGCCCATACTGCGCCAGCATGCGCTCCAGCTGCCCGCCCGACGCCAGCGCCTTCAGAATTTGATTCTCCACCGCGGTTGCAAACTCCGCGACTTTCGCCTCAAACGCCTCGTCAGGATTCTCCGGGACAGACGGCTTGCTGGGCTGTGCCGCGGAGGGAGCGGCAGCAGGAGCGTCAGCAGGAGCAGGCTCAGAGGTGGAAGCTTCAGGAGCGGCAGGAACGGGCTGCGTAGGAGCAGGAGCAGCAGCAGGAACTGGCGCAGGAGGAGGTTCGTCAACAGCAGGGGTCGAAGCTGCCGGAGGAACAGGAACGGCCTGAGCAGCAGAGTCGGGGACTGAATCCGAAGCAGGAGGAGCAGGAGTGAGATTCACGTCAGAGGGAGCAACAGCGGACGGCGCGGACGGCGCGGACGGAGCAGCATCTCCGCCGAACGACGACGACGAGTAGACAGACCCGTCAAGGCTGCAGACGTCGACGAAATCGTCAGCGCCTGGCAGGGACTCCACGGCAACATCGAGGCGAAGCGGGTTGAGCTCCTGGTAGATAAACGCGTCGTGAAGATCCTCGTCCGTGGAAACCGTTATGACGTCACCGTCGGAATCCGTGTACGTGACGGTGATTGGCTTGTCGGCGGGAACCTTGAAGAGCTTGCGAATCTGACCGTCCACGTGGTCGAACGCCGGAGGGTCGCGACGAGAGGAGATGCGACGAAGGACGCCGCGGCACTTGACCTGATAGAAGGAAAACAACGCGGAGGATTTGAGGTTATAAGAAACGTGCAAGTAAATTGAGACAATAAGATTTTAGTCCGCGACACTTGACCTGATAGGAAAAAGGGAACGCGAAGGAGCTCAAGGCAAGCGAACGTGACATGTCGCCGCGTGACACAAGTGAAAGGGCAGTCCGGGAGGTGTGAAACCGAATCAACACAGCGAGTAGCCTAGTTTGATACATAGTAATAAATGAGAAGAGCAAGCTAAGGTTGAACGCTAAGAATCTATGGCTGAGTTCCAATCCTCACCTTAAGCACGTAAAGAGTATCCATGGCGAAGGCAGTCGGCACAATTACAGCGGAGCACAGCAGAACTTGTTATTGAACTCGAAAGAAACGACACCTCGAGCAGCCAAACCGCGTTCCCGTTAGCCGCGGTGGCAGCTCTCACTTCCTCAACTATCTTTAAGTCCAAGAAACCGGCAGCAACGGTGCCTAACACTAACAGTAACACCCTTCCCTCCTCTCACAACTGGTATGGCAAACCCGACAAGCACAAAACAGAAATTCGTTTCTCGAAACTCAATGGAAGTCGAAAATTGGAGCAGCAGCAGCACCAGCAGCAGCGGCGGCAAAAGCGCGCAGAACTCGAGGAAACTCAAGCTAACACGCCACCGAAGCTGGCGGATGGAACGGCAAACTTGCGGCCTGAAGAAATGGAGGGCGAGGATGGGTTATTTATAGATGTTTGATGGCTCGGCAACGGCTGGGATGAGCTTCATGTCCGTGCCAGCCGATATGGCGTCTCATACACGTCAGTGCGCGGGAAGCTCCGCTTTCGCGCGGGGGAAGACGACTTGGGCGGGAGCCTGTCATGTGGGGTAGGGGGGGAGTGCGGCTCCGCCAGTCACATCAAGCATGCATCCCTTCCCATAGTGGCGAAACTGCGTATCGAGTTCCACGAAGGTCGAAACAGCTTCTGGGCTCTTCGCGAATGGTAATTCACCTTTGATTGTAACGATTCGAAAGAAGGCATGTGCGATATACGTACCCTTATACCCCTTATCACATGAGAAGAAAGGATCTAGCCAAGAATCACTTGAGGAAGTACTACATCCACTAGGAATAACAATAGAGCTACATGAGGGTATGCTAATATCACTGACAATAAATCAGAAGCTCGAGACGATTCAAGAAAAAACCCTGACCAAAACACCTTACAAATTACCGCAGAGAGCCAGATTTGCTTCTTAGGAAAAAAAATGATAAGGACAGTACCTGCCCTGCATACTTAGGTACATTCCGCTGTGGACACATGTCCCAATCGATGTGTCCCAATCGTTTCTACCGCACTGCATCGTATTACACCAAATTGCACCCTAGTTTCAAAATTTTCGCGTCTCTGGTTTAGTTCAGTTCGGAGCGGTACACTTGATTGGGACACATCGATTGGGACATGTGACCACAGCGGAATGTACCCTTATTTGTTCCTGTATTCAATCTGCATCTTTTTAATTTGCATGTCTTCACTTCAACATACACTAACTGACATGGCACTTCCCTAAAACCCAGTGTTGATCCCCTTGTTGGAAATAAGAAGTCGCTAGAGCGCAGTGGAAGCTCTATGAATTAACGACGTCCCTACGGCGGGGCTATTGGTCACTCAGAGGTAGCTCTCCTGGCTTGCAACGCGGTGCCAAAGCAGCGGCCGAGGGTAGGCCGGACACAAGCTTGAGAATTGTGTAATATGAGCAAGGCATTACATTCTGTTATATAGCAAACGCATAGGGCAAACAGTTACCAAGGCGCAACTGTATAACAGTTGCGCTGCGTCGCTTGGGTTGCCTTGTTACAGTCGCGCTGGCGAGACTTTTCAGCTTCGGCAAGGGCGCGGTATCCTGCCGCGCCCCGCAGGTCAGTTTCGCGTACTGTATACGATGACTCCTGCTGTCGATTCGACTCTTGAGCTGCCACGCGGGTCGCAACCGCTGTGTTCGGTTGCGGCCCGTTGACTCGCCACCAGGTTCAAATCCCTCGCTATGGCGAGCCACTGTAAACACACTTTGAACAGTGCACTTATAATAAAAGCATACAAACATATTCTCAACACTCCCCTCCACTGTTAGAAGTGTAGAAACGAAGAGAGCTGCAATCTTGCCGGGTTGAAGTTGTGAAGTCCTTTCCAGGGACTTTGCTGTAACTCCTTGAAATTCGTCTTGCTGAGTCGCCCAAAATGATGCGACGGTGCGTTGAAGATTTCCTCCACGTAATGCTCCGTGGGAAGTGGCAGGTCGAACCTGCTCCTGAAGATGCTCCTGGTGATGATTCAGGTGGTGGGCCCATTTGTAGAAATTATCACAGGTTCCAAGGATTGGAACTCTTGCTCTGATACCATGTTGGAAATAAGAAGTCGCTAGAGCGCAGCGGAAGCTCTATGAATTAACGACGTCCCTACGGCGGGGCTATTGGTCACTCAGAGGTAGCTCTCCTGGCTTGCAACGTGGTGCCAAAGCAGCGGCCGAGGGTAGGCCGGACACAAGCTTGAGAATTGTGTAATATGAGCAAGGCATTACATTCTGTTATATAGCAAACGCATAGGGCAAACAGTTACCAAGGCGCAACTGTATAACAGTTGCGCTGCGTCGCTTGGGTTGCCTTGTTACAGTCGCGCTGGCGAGACTTTTCAGCTTCGGCAAGGGCGCGGTATCCTGCCGCGCCCCGCAGGTCAGTTTCGCGTACTGTAGACGATGACTCCTGCTGTCGATTCGACTCTTGAGCTGCCACGCGGGTTGCAACCGCTGTGTTCGGTTGCGGCCCGTTGACTCGCCACCAGGTTCAAATCCCTCGCTATGGCGAGCCCCTGTAAACACACTTCGAACAGTGCACTTATAATAAAAGCATACAAACATATTCTCAACACCCCCCTCCCATTTGTCCACCACCTCGACCGAACCCTACACCACTCCTACCCCTTCCCCTCGCACTGAACCGCCCACCACCCCTTCCTGCTCCCCTCCCTCCTCCCCAGCCACCACCTCTTCCGAACCTGCCACCAAACCCCACACCAAAGCTAGGGCCCTGAGGCCCGGGCAAGAGGGCACCCTTGCGAGGTCCGGCCGGAGCTGATTTGTCACCAGCGGGTCCAGATTCGCTGGCTGGAGGTGGAAGCAAGTAGTTCTCGAAGGAGAGGAGGGAGGCGATGGTGTAGAGCGTCAGTGCTTGGAGGGGAGGGAGCGGCTTCCTCGGATCATGGACCTGAGGGGGGAGACAGAGAGAGGGCATGGGAGGGAGGGAGAGAGTGGGGGCGTGAGGGAGAGGGAAAAGCTCAGCCAACGATAGCGACGAGACAACAGCTCAGACCAGCAGTAAAACAAGAGGAGCCGGCTCAGCCTAGCACCCAACGGCTCATCCCAGCACCCAACGGCTCATCCCAACACCCACCGGCTCATCCCAGCACCCACCGGCTCATCCCAGCACCCACCGGCTCATCCCAGCACCCACCGGCTCATCCCAGCACCCACCGGCTCATCCCAGCACCCACCGGCTCATCCCAGCACCCACCGGCTCATCCCAGCACCCACCTTGGTGGCAAAGCAAGCGGCCAGCCTCTCCCTCAGGCAGAACAGCTGAGCCGCCAGCATGGCCGTGGTGCGGAATCTCAGCCATCGATCGATCACGATCACGATCTCACGGCCAGGATCGCTCATGACCTCCTCCTGCAATTTCCGCCTCCTCTCCCTCGCACTCTTGGGATTCGGCACCACCACTGGCCCCTCCTCCTCCTCCCCCTCCTCATCCTCCGCACCTGAAACATACTCCCCTTCCTCCTCCAACCTTTCCTCCTCGTCCTCTCCCTCCTTGCGCGCGTTCCCCCTGGCCCCCTCGCCCTCTTCTCCTTTCCCCAACTCCATCTTAACTGCTTCACTTCCTTCCCCCACTGCTTCTACTTCTCCCTGGCCCGACTCCCCCTCTCCCCGTTGCCTCCGCTGCCGTCTCTTCCTTTTCCGCACCTCCACCCCTTCTCCCTTCCCTTCTCCCTCTCCTTCCACCTTCCCTTCTCCCTCTTCTTCTCCCTCCCCTTCTCCATTCCCTTCTTCCTTCTCCCCATCTCCATCCTCCTCCCATCCTGCCTTCAGAGGCCCTAGAGGAGCAACAACCATCTCTGACGCAATCAGGATGAGAGAGAGTGGGCGAACCACAGTACACGATCTAATCGTCTGGTTCCCCTCGCCCCTCACGATCTCATCAAACACAATCAACGGCCGAGATGATTCCTCAATGCTCTCCACACCACCGCTTTCCCCAGCGCCGCCAGCCGTTCCCGAACCTGCCTCCGCGCCTCGGTGCAAGGCTCGGCAGTTGACCGAGTGCGGATGGATCCGAACCTTCTCGCCTCGGGCTGTCACTACCACCGCCGGTTGCTTCCCAGTTGGCGTTTTCGGTACGAGACTAGCTACAAACGGGTACAAGCCCGCTGCTAACACCGCCCTCACCACTCCTTGGTTCCTCCCATTCGCATTACACTCGCAATCCAAATCCACATTCACATCCCATCCCCCTCCTCCTCTTCCTCCTCCTCTGCCGTCGCCTCCCCTCCCTCGCCCTCCTCCCCACCCTCCTCCTCTCCCCCCGCGCACACTCCCTAGAAACCCTTTCCGCAGCAGCTCTCCTCTCAGCTGCTTCCTCAGCCCAGAGATCATATTCATCCCACCTGGCGACAAGAAATTCCGCCGGCAAAACCCATCTGCAGCCCGAGCCCCCCCTCTCGCCTTCGCATCAGCCCACCCATCAAACGCAGCAATGAGTGCGAGATGATCCCCATACCCGCCCAGGGAATTCCCCAACGCGTGCCTTGCAGCAATGGCTTTAAGCTTCTGATCAAGCCCTATAGGCATCTGGAACGGATCCCGATAGGTGCTGGCAGCAGCGACAGTAAGAGCCGGGCCAAGGCAATCCAGGAGAATCGAGTGGAGGAGCATTTTGGAGGTGACTGGGTGGAGGGGGAGGGCGCCTAGGTGGGCCCCGAGGGGCGTGAGGGACTGGTGGGGGTCGAGAGCACCGATGTCTTGCAGGAGGGCGACAGCGTTGGTGATTGCGGCGGGGACCGGGGGCTCGAGGGCTTTTGAGAGAAAGAGAGGGATATCCAGTGAAGGGTTGAGAATCTTGATCTGATGGGGGGAAGGCAGGGAGGGGAAGAGGAGGAAGGGAGGGAAGGAAAGAGGAGGAAGGGAGGAGTGAGGAGAAAGAAAGGAGCAGATGGAGTGAAGGAGCATTTTGGAAGTCGCTGGGAGCTCAAACAAGCCCACGCTAGACTATGTAAGTGACAGAATCCCAACCACTAGAACACAGAAATAAAATAACACGATAAGTAGCAGATGAATGCGCCCGTAACCCCGGCTAGCAACCATTCCCTAGGATCAATCGTGCATCCCCAATGCAGGTCTTCTGACACCCACTTCACAAGAATGCCCTAAAACATGAACGACAGCGCCAGCATGTGCGACATGGGGATTAGAACCCGAGATCTTCGCTCTGATACAATGTCAGAATCCCAGCCACTAAACCACTGTGATAAATTGGCTTGTTAAGTAGCGGGTCAGTGCAACCATAACCTTCTAAACTAGCGAACCTGTAACCCTCTCTAGGATCAATCATGCATCCCCAGTGCAGATCTTCTGACAATAAGGCCACAAGAGGGTGAGTGAGAGGGTCGTGAACAAGAGAGGTTCGTGAGCGAGAGAGGGTAGGGTAGGTCCAGAGCGCCGATGTCTTACAGGAGTGCACAGAGAATCGGGCAAGGAATCCGCGCAATAATACAAGCAGCCCAGCCCACTGCACAACTGTACTAAACAACACCACACACTGTACCTGCAAGCAAAGCTCTTCCAGGGGCGTGCGTTTGATTTCCGGCGCCTGAAATTCCGGCAGAGACCCAGCTCGCGTGCGCGAAAAGAGATGGAAGCACACCCCCGGCCTGCACCGCCCTGCCCTTCCCTGCCGCTGGCGCGCACTAGCTTTGGACACCCAACAGACCTGCGGGGGCGAGGGGGCGTTAGAAGGAAGAGAGAGGAGAGGGTTATGGGTGTGAAAAGAGGTGGAAGCACACCTCTGGTTTGCACCGCCTTGCTCTGCCCTGGCACTGGCGCGCAATGGTTTTGGAGACCCAACAGACCTGAGGGGAAGGGAGATAGAGTGAGGGAAGGGAGAGCGTGCAATCGTCAGCCCCGCATCGGCAATATTCGTTGTAACCACAATCTTCCTCACCCCCCGCCCCGGCCTTTGAGGGGCGCTTCAACAGCTGCAGCCCCATCTTCCGCACGCCCCTCCCTAGCAGCATTTTGAGGCGTCTGAAAAGCTGCCAACCCCCCCATCAAACCACCCACCACCCCTTTCCCTGGCCCCCTTCCACCTACCTGCAGGGTAGACACGTTGGTGTGTGCGTCGTAGCTCTTCTCCTTCAACCTTCCAGAATCAACCACAAACACAACGTCATCAATCGTCAGCGCCGTCTCCGCGATGCCAGGCGTGAGCACAACACAAACACAAGCCCCATCCCGGGCCTCTCACAATCTTCCGCGCGCCCCATCCCGGCCTTCCTAGTGAGCTGTGAACACAAACGTCCAGTCCCGGCCAGAACACAAACGCAACACACTCGCCCTTTCAGGGATTCACCCACCTGCAGGGTAGACACATTCGTGTGCGCATCGTAGCTCTTCTCCTTGAGCCGCCCCGAGTCCACCACAAACACAATGTCATCGATCGTCAGCGCCGTCTCCGCGATATTCGTCGTCAGCACAATCTTCCGCACGCCCCGCCCCGGCCGCTCAAACACCTTCCGCTGATCCGGCATCGGAATCTTCGAGTGCAGCGGCAGTATCAGGAACCGCGTGGGGTCTCCAAACACAGAGGAACCCAGCAGCCGGTCTCTCAGGCGGGAGATTTCCTCCCACCCCGGGAGAAACACGAGGATAGCGCAGTCTGGCCCGTTCAGACCTGCACCCCCGTCCCCTGCTGCTGCTCCTCCTGCCTCTCCTGCTCCTCCACCCTCCCTGCCTTCCTTGCTGTAAGTCGGAATGAGAGATAGAAGCTCGTCTTCCTCTTCCCCCTCCTCTCCCTCCTTCTCTTCTCCCTGTTTCACCATCTGTTGGGATTTTCTGGAAGCAAAGGCGCTGCTGCTCGTGAGTGCTGCCGGCCGCTCTGCCGCGCTGACGCAGATCCTAGTCAGCAGGAGGTGGATGAGGGCCAAATCCACCTCATCATGATCCACAGACGCTTGGTATAAAGAGAGCGCCACTTGCTCCTGTGCTGCCAGCCTCGCTGCTTCTGCACTCACAGGCACAGCCACAGCAGCACCAGCAGCAGCAGCAGCAGGAGCAGCAGCAGCAGCAGCAGCAACGGCATCAGTTGTTGCGTCGGCCTTGGATACCTCTCCCTGCCTCTCGCCCTTCTCTTCCTGCATTCCCTCCCCATCATCCATTCCCCTCTCCTCCCCTTCCTCTCCCTCCTCAACCTCCTCCCCCTCCTCCGGCACTCCCAAGCCCAGCGAGCATTGAGGTCGTTTTTGAGGCGCCTCAAAAACCTCCTCCCCCTCCTCCGGCATTCCCAAGCCCAGCGCCTCCATGTGTCTCTCAAGAATCCGGCACACAGCCTCATGGCCGTACATGCGCGCCCAGTCAAGCGCCGTGCTGCCCTCGTCTGATGTGAGAGTCACATCAGCCCCCAGCGACAGCAGCATCTCCACCTCCTCTGCTCTCCCCTTGCCTGTTTGGGATTTAACAGCAAGGGGTGGGGGGTGGGCGGGTGGGAGGAGGGGGAGGGGGAGAGAGAGTCACATCAGCCCCCAGCGACAGCAGCATCTCCACCTCCTCTGTTATCCCCTTGCCTGTTGGTCGCTCCAGAATCAAGGGACGAGGGGAGAAACGAGGAATTGAGTTGAGACGTTTCTTTTCAAGAGTTGAGTTAAGCCAATCCTTTTCAGGGGCCTGATGGCCGTTCATAGGGAGCGAAGGGATGAGGACGGAGAGAGGAGGTCAGGAGGAGGTGAGACAACGTAGGGGAGTGGGAGAGGAGGAGGGTGCGAGACAAAGGGGGGGCAAGCTTAGCACAGACGCGCTCACCAGCAGCAACCATCAATGGAGTAGCCCCTGTCTCCGAATGTGCATTGTCACATATGTTAATCCTCACACCCCGCCCACCACGCCCACGCCCACCCCGCCCACCAACGAGTTGACTTTTGAGTCGACTCAAAAGTTCACTCACCAGCGGCAACCATCAAGGGCGTAGCCCCTGTTTCCGAGTGCGCATAGTCACATATGTTTATCCTCACACCCCGCCCACCCCGCCCACCACGCCCACGCCCACGCCCACCACCATCACCTCTCCCTTTCCTTCTCCTCCTTCGCTTCCCCCCCTTTTGCTTCGCCTCCTCCTCCCCTCCAAACATCTCCTGCAACTGACTCTCCTTCCTCTTCCGCCTCAAAATTCGTCTCAACATCCTTCCCTTCTCTCCTCCCACCCCCCCACCACCAACACCATCACCACCGTCACCATCACCACCACCACCGTCACCACCGCCACCACCGCTGCTCTGTGCTGCTGCCATCATCATTCTACTCATCATTCCCTGCAGCTTCGCCTCCTCATGCCCTGATACCACTAGCTCCATTAAATCATCAAAATCATCCAACATCCAAGCGAGTCTTATAGCCTCATCCATGGCTGCTGCGTCCTTTGCTGTTAGACCTATCACCTCCCCTTCCTCCACCTCATCCTCCTCCTCCGCATTCACCCTTGCTTCTTCCTCCCCTTCCTCCTCCTCGTCTTCCCCCACCTCCCCTTCCTCCACCTCCTCCTCTCCTTGCTCCTCACCTTCTCCCTCTCCCTCTCCTGCTCCCTCACCCCCTCCTCCCACACGCACGTCGGCCTGTGCTGCTTCCCTTTCGACATCCATGGCTTGCAGTGCTCCCTTATTGAAAGCCCCACTAGCGAAATTGTTGCCGTAATTTGTGATGCGAAGGATATCCTCCAGGTACAGTGATCGCACCTGCCAAGCATGAAAAAATTAACATAAAACCAATATATAGCATGGTTAAAAGACACGTAAAAAGACCGCCAGAAAACTGTTCCCGTAAACTTGTCATGTGGAGAACATCTGTCAGGTAGAGTGTTCGCTCGCACCTGCAAAGCAGAACTTAACGCAAAATGGTTTGTGATGCAATACAGAAGATCAACATAGAGATAAAACCAAATGCACATATATAGCGTGCAACCTGATCCGTAACGTCAGTAATAATCTAACGCGAACAAAAGAACCGACCGGATATGTGAAGCCAGGGACGTTGATGACGGGGCAGCCCCCGAAATAGTTTGCGAACAGCCCGGCATCAAGGGTTGCACTCATAAGCACCTGGGGAGGGAAGATTAGTCCAGGGAAATGGCATTGGCAGCACGTGATTGATAGTCAGTCTTTGAGGAGCCTAGAGAATTGAAGTAGTTTGCACACAGCCCAGCATCCAGGGTTGCACCTGAGGAGGGAAGATTAGTCGAGTCAAATGGCACGTGACTGATAGTCAGTCGACTTTCGAGATGCCTCAAGAAGGAAAATAGTAAATTTCCTGGGAATGATAACTGCATGCATACCAACAGATCGAATTTTGACATGTCTCAAAAGGGAGAACAGCTGACATGTCTCAAAAGGGAGAACAGCCAATCACAATAGGATAACAACACATCATCAACATCTGAGGTGCCTTACAATATGAACAGAATAGGAGGGACAGACGCCTCAAAAAGGAGAAAGGCTGTTCGAGAATGCTCAAACATATTAAACAGGGAGGTGAGAATGAGGTGAGCAGGAGGTGAGCAGGAGGTGAGCATGAGAAGAGCATGAGGAGAGCATGAGGAGAGCGTGAGGTGAGCATGAGGAGAGCATGAGGAGAGCGTGAGGTGAGCATGAGGAGAGCATGAGGAGAGCGTGAGGTGAGCATGAGGAGAGCACGAGGTGAGAGCACGAGATTCTTGCAGGGAGAATGAGGCACTCTAGCATCTAACACCAGGCGATGAGGCATGGGGAGGGGGACCGACCAGCTTGAGAGTGGGTCGCAGGCGACTTTTGAGACGCCTCAAAAGTCGATATCTCTGGCAAGGAAGTGAGAGCATTTGGTGACTGACCAGCTTGAGAGTGGGGTGCAGGCGTAGCAGATCTCTGAGAATGATGAGCATGAAGTCTGCGAATTTATCGCGCTCATGCACCTCGTCCTGGTGGGTGGTGGGGGGGGGAAATAGACGCATGGGGGTTTCATGAGCATGAAGTCTGCGAATTTATCGCGCTCATGCACCTCGTCCTGGTGGGTGGTGGGGGGAGTGGGTGGTGGGTGGTGGGGGGAGGGAGGAGAGGGAGGTTAGATCACGGTCACGGGTCTCAGAGACTCAGAGAAGCAGTTGCAGCCACAGCAGGAACCGGGGTGAGAATGATGAGCATGAAGTCTGCAAATATATCGCGCTCATGCACCTCGTCCTGGTGGGTGGTGGGGGGAGGGGTAGTGGGTTGGGGGGGGGGGGAGAGAAGGTGGGGGAAGAAGAGGGGGTTAGATCACGGGTCTCACACACACAGAAGCAGTCGCAGGCGCAGCAGGCCCCTGATAATGATGAGCGCAAAAAAATCTACAGACTTCTTTATCATCAGGCCCCTGATAATGATGAGCGCGAAAAAATCTACAGACTTCTTTATCATCAGGCCCCTGATAATGATGAGCGCGAAAAAATCTACAGACTTCTTTATCATCAGGCCCCTGATAATGATGAGCATGAAAAAATCTACAGACTTCTTTATCATCAGGCCCCTGATAATGATGAGCATGAAGTTTGTAGATTTCTTCGCGCGCATGCACCTCGTCCTGGTGAGCAGTGGGGTGGGGGGAGTCGATTTTTGAGTAGATTCAAAAATCTACTCCCCCCACCCCACTTCGTCCTGGTGAGCTGCGGGAAGTCGATTCACTCAAAAATCGTCTGTAGATTTTTTCGCCCTCATGCACCTGGTCCTGGTGAGCAGTGGGGTGGGGGGAGAGGAAGGTTGGATCACGAGTCTCACAGATTAGTGTTGCGCTCATGCACCTCCCTTCCCCCGCTCCCGCTTTCCAACACCAGTCACTGCCACAACAGCCAGAGTCATAGCAGCACCTAACTGGGGGAACCTCTTGTACTCACTACAATAATGTGAGTCGCATCCAGCTTCGCCAGCACGTCTGCATCCACATCCCTTCCCACTCCCCCCTTCTCCTCCCCCTCTCCATCTCCCCCTCCTTCCCCCTCCCCCTCCCCATCCCCCTCCCCTGCCACACCCTCTGCCATTCCCTTCACAGCAGCAGCTATCGCCTCTCTAACCCCCAGCTCCACAATACTTCCCCCTCCGCCCTCCCCACTCCCCACTCCCCCTCCCCCTCCTGCACCCTGCGCGCCCCTTCCCCCTTCTTTGCTGTGCAAGTGCGCACCCAGCCCCACGAGGCGGCGCAGCAGAACGCCGTTGGTGCACATCCAGAGAGAGGAGGAGCGATTTCCTTTAGACTCCAGCCGGATCTGATACCCCACCGTTTGCCCGATCTTCTCCCCTCTCTCCGCTGCTATCCTCTCCGCCACTGGTGGAAGGAAGGGGGGGGGAGGGAAGGGGAGAGACGGGAACAGGGGGAAACGGGGGAGAGGAGACGGTGATAGAGGGGCGAGCGAGGAGTGCAGGAGGGAGGGAGGGGAGGCGAGACAGTCCCACAAGGTGACCACTTATTGGTGGTGGTAGACATTGCGTGGCTGCAGATTCGGAGTTGACTCAAAACACACGGGGCGAGCGAGGAGTGCAGGAGGGAGGGAGGGGAGGTCAGACAGTCCCACAAGGTGGAGCAGCAGCACGCCATTGCTGCACATCCAGAGAGATGAGGACCGGTTTCCTTTCGACTCCAACCGGATCTGATACCCCACCGTTTGCCCGATCTTCTCCCCTCTCTCCGCTGCTATGCGCTCAGCCACTAAGGAATGGGGGAAAGGGGAATAAACGGGAAGGAAGGAGAGGGGAAGGTGTTGGGGGGTCCAGTTTTGAGACGTCTCAAACCTCTACTTTTATCACGTGGGTCAAGTGCGCCCCCAACCCCACAAGGCAGCGCAGCAGCACGCCATTGGTGCAGAGCCAGAGGGATGAGGAGCGGTTTCCCTTCGACTCCAGGCGGATCTGATACCCCACTGTTTGCCCGATCTTCTCCCCTCTCTCCCCGGCTATCCTCTCCGCCACTGGTGGAAGGAGAAACAGGGGCGAAGGAGTGTTGGAGGAGGGGGTCAACTTCTCAAAGGGGAATATCTAAGGCAACGCAGCAGCACGCCGTTGGTGCAGAGCCAGAGGGATGAGGAGCGGTTTCCCTTCGACTCCAGCCGAATCTGGTACCCCGACTGTTTGCCCGAGTGCATTTCCCCTCTCTCCGCGGCTATCCTTTCCGCTTTTGAGTCGACTCAAAAAAAGCAAGCTTTTGAGTCGACTCAAAAGCAATCTGGTACCCCGACTGTTTGCCCGAGAGCTTTTCCCCTCTCTCCGCGGCTATCCTCTCCGCCACTACAAAATGGGAAGGGGGTGGGGGGAAAGGAAGGGGAGAATGGGAATGCAGGAAAGCGGGGAGAGGAGAAGGTGTTGACGGGAGTAGCAGGGAGTAGTGGGGAGTAGTACGGAGTAGTACGGAGTAGTAGGGGGTAGTAGGGGGTAGTAGGGAGGAAGTAGTAGGGAGAAGTAGGGGGTAGTAGGGAGGAGTAGGGAGGAGTAGGGAGTAGTAGGGAGTAGCAAGGAGTAGCAGGGAGTAGCAGGGAGTAACAGGGAGTAGTAGGGAGTAGTAGGGAGTATAAGGGAGTAGCAGGGAGTAGTAGGGAGTAGTAGGGAGTAGTAGGGAGTAGTAGGGAGTAGTAGGGAGTAGTAGGGAGTAGTAGGGAGTAGTAGGGAGTAGTAGGGAGTAGCAGGGAGTGCAGGAGGCAAGTGCACCCCCAGCCCCACAACAGCGCAGCAGCACGTCATTGGTGCAGAGTCAGAGGGACGAGGAGCGGTTTCCCTTCGACTCCAGCCGAATCTGATACCCTACGGTTTACCCCACCCATTTCAGCAGATGATTTACCCGAAGTACCATATATTCGTCTGGGTTGGGTGCAGAGCACGCGGCAGCACCTGCCCTTCCCCCACTCGTGATCCAGAATAAACTGGGGCACCTGGATGGTCTTGCCTTGCCTTGCCTTGCCTTGCCTTGCCACACCCCGTCAGCCCTTTCTGACCCATATACACGCACACTCACTCACTCTCACCACCGAACTCTTCCCACACCTCCTGGCTCCTGCTTCTAGCACACCCACTCAACCCGTTCTAATTCGCACCAAACAAACAATCTCAGAGGGAGAAGAGAATTACCAGAGGTGGCGGAAATCCTCCTGGGTTGGGTGCAGAGCACGCGGCAGCGTCTCCCCTTCCCCCACTCGTGATCCAGAATAAACTGGGGCACCTGGGTGGTCTTGCCACACCCGGTCTCTCCCACTATCAGCACCACCTGGTGCCGCTCTATCGCCCGCGTGATCTCCTCCCGATACGCCATGATGGGTAGTGACTGCCGCTTCTGTGTGATCTGAGGGGACGGATGAGGGGAGGGCAGGCAGGGGGGCCAACATCGTGTCACTTGGAGGTATCAGCACCACCAGGTGATGCTCTCACCGCTTTCAATCTCACTGCTTTTAATCTCACCGCTTTCAATCTCACCATTTTCAATCTCACCGCTTTCAAGCGCACTGCTTTCACATCACCCTCACCACCTCCCCTCTCACCGCTTTCAGTGAAGCTGTGCTTGCCAGCCTGTCTGCTAAAGCCTTCACCTGCGCCTGCACCCAAGGGTCCCCTCTTCCCCCCTCCATTTAAGGTCCCTCAACACCAGGCCCTCACCGCTCTCAACCTCACTGCTTTCACTCTCGCCGCTTTGAGTGAAGCCATGCTCGCCAGTCTATCCGCCAGTGCCTTCACCTGCGCCTGCTCACCCACCCAAGGGTCCCCTCTCCCAACCCCCCCAACCCCCCCATTCTAGAATCTCAAGAACCTCTGAGCTACACTCTCACCGCTTTCAGTGAAGCCATGCTCGCCAGCCTGTCTGTTAGAGCCTTCACCTGCTCCTGCACCCAAGGGTCCCCTCTTCCCCCCTCCTCATCCTTCCCCTTACCCTTCTCCTTACCCTTCCCCTTCTCCATCTCCATCACCTTCCCCCCATCCGTTCCCTCTACCCCCTCCCCCACCCCCAGTCGCGCCATAGCCCCAGTCACTTTCTCCTCCTCCTCATCCCCATGACCACCTCCGCCTTTCCCCCTGCCAGGCGCCCCTTTCCCCTGCGCCCGTCCCACTCCTGCAGCAGCGTCCGCCAAGTACCCCCCTGCCTGCATTGCTGACGTCATCTCCAGCTCCGTGGGAGGGTGGGCCAGCAGTAGCGCCAGCACAGCAGCTTCGGACTCGGACGAAAGAGTCAGGCTCGGGAGGGATTCTGCTGCAGGCCCGGTGGAGTCCAAACCTGGTCCTCCGGTGAGCTTATGTCGGGAGGTTCGGTAGACTGTCAGTCGACGGTTAGATTGTTTCCTGTGGGAGGGGGAAGAGGGATAAAATTGAACGAGGAAAACGGAGAACTTTCTGAGTCGACCCAAAAAGGTGACTTTCCAGTCGACTCAAAGGTCACCTCGGTAGACTGTCAGACGACGGTTACATTGTTTCCTGTGGGAGGCGGAAAGAGGGATAGAATCGAACGAGGCGCACAGGGAACATCTTGAATGGACCAGAAAAGGTGACTTTTCAGTCGACTCAAAGGTCACAACGGTAGACTGTCAGTCGACGATTGGTTTGTTTCCTGAGAGGATAGGAAAGTGGGATTGAACGAGGAGCACATGCCACAAGGTTTGGTGGTGCCATATATGTCGGTAGGTTCGGTAGACGGTCAGTCGATGGTTAGATTGTTCTTTGGGGGAAAAAGAGGGGTGAACGAGAAACAGAGGTAACACGGTTTAGAAGGTGTACATAACTGGGAACGGTTTTTGAGGAGTCTCAAAAACCAGGGAACACGGTTGCGAAGGTGTACATAACTGAGAAAAGGAAACCTGTGCATTGCAAGTGAGCGGAATGAGCGCGTTGCTGTACATGGAAATAACGAATTGCATAAAGTACTTAAAGTCTTCGCATAACTGTAGATTTTAATGCTATATTTTGAACCCTCTCATCTTCCAGTTGCAATAGCAATTTCCTGCATATTGACACATCAACACTGAACAAATATTCATACATATACATATGAATATACATTTGTATACATGAGTATACCTACTTATGTATACGCACAAGTACACATCTGCATCCCTGTAAAAACACACATACCCGTGGCTTCTAGAGACGAAGCCAGGCGAAGCCCACCTTCCAGCACAGCTCATGAACCACGACCCTGCAGGGTGTTTTTTATAATTAAATAAAACACACACCCTGCAGTAGGGCAAGTATAAACACATACCCGCGGCTCCTGGAGACGAAGCCCATCTTTCGGCACAACTTGTGAACCACAGCCCTGTCGTGGTTGCTCAGATCTTTGAGACGTCTCAAGAATCACACGAAAGCAACTATAAACACCTACCCGCGACTTCTAGAGACGAAACCCATCTTTCGACATAGCTCGTGCACCACAGCCCTGTCGTGGTTGCTCAAATCCGCCTCAAACGTCATCTCTGGGAAGAGGAGAGACAGAGGGGAGGGGAGGGAGGGATAGCGGGTTGGGGAGACGCGAGGAGCACTTGGGGGACCTTACGACAGCCCAGCCCAGGGCTGTGGGGGATGAGCTCATGCACCACAGCCCTGTCGTGGTTGCTCAAATCCGCCTCAAACGTCATCTCTGGGAAGGGGAGGGAGAGAGGGAGGGAGGGGGAGTGAGAGAAAGAGGGAGGGGGAGTGAGAGAGGGTTCATGAGAGGCAATCTACAATTGAAGACTCTCAGATTCAGGTGGTGCACCACAGCCCCGTCATGACTTATCAGATCCGCCTCGAAATCATCTCTGGAGAAATACAAAGACAGAGAGGAGGGGTTGAGGGGATAGGCGAGAAAAAGAGGGCGAGCAAGGGAAAGAGGGGGGAGGGAAGGGAAGAAAACGATCGAATCAGTCTCAAGTCGGAAACAACACTTGAAATCGTTCATAGTAGCCAGACTTACCTTATTTGCTTCCATAGCGAAATCGCTTGAATCTGGCTGAGCCAGTGACGCGCGTGATCCACCCACCGCTTCCTCGCCTTCGCGCCGGAGGACATAAGCCTTGGTCGAGCAATGCCTGAAACAAAATGTCGGAGATCCCACCTGGTTCGGTGCCGTCGCGAAACTCTTCGAGCCTGGCGGTGACGGAAATTCGCGTGGATTCCGACACGGGCCGCATCCCCGCCGTCCCACGAAACCGGTTCTCGCGGTTCTTTTTGTCCTTTGGCATCGTCGATTGCCTGTTGAGCCCGATCGGTTAATTACGGCGTAAACGGCTTGAATAGCTTCAAGGCAGCCTAAACAGATCGGATGGTTCAGGACAGTGTTAACGGCTACGAATGTTTCACGCCTGAACGGCTTAGATTGCTTTAAAGGACATGATTGTCCTAGAATGCTTCACGACAACGTAACGCGGTTCAACTAGTTCCCGTGTCAGGATTCGAGTATGCCACGCAGCCGTATCAGCTTCCGCGTATCACGAACAAGCAACTTTTATTCACTAAGCTGTTCTTGAGCCGCTTCGCCCTAGCTGGATGCTTGGTGCTGAATGGCAACGGGGCCGCCTGATCAGTTAATTTGTTGTCAGAATTGAGGGGAAGCAGACTGAAATGGTGGATGGGAGCTTGAGGGGTTTGGCCTTTCTCGCTAAGAAGTAGACTGATGCTGCTAAATCTGACGAATAGGGGACGATATCCACATTGAATGTGTGATGCATATGACCTAATGATTCCGAATTTGTGATGATGTTGTTGAAAAATGAACTTGCGTTAAATGTAAATGTATTTATGAAAATACTTATTTCAGATCTGAGAATCACAATGATAATACAGAAATGAATCAATGACAACAAGGCTCGACGTTTACATCGGAAGGGTTGCGTAGAGTTGTATTCCGTGTGCAACAAATCTTATGAAGTGTATTACATTAATATTCTATTTATAGATGCAATGCACTAAGTTATTGTTGAACTATAATTATATATGTTCTTTATAATTGTCTGCAGTGTAAAATGTAGCACATCCCAATTTGCTGTAGGTGGTGCACCATGCTTCTCCTTGCTATATTTTGTACTCATCTTTCTTAGTGAAGTCACTTCTTCCTGCTTGAACTCTCTCGACACCTCCTTCAAACCTAAAACCTAAGTTCTTAACAACTAAAGTTATGGCTCCTAAGCCTAGTTGTCCTTAGTCATTCTGACATGGTATCTAGACGGAGCATGTTCCTACCGCCTAGCTTAACGGGCCCACCAACTGCTTCTGCTGCCGTACTGTCCGTCGCGCGCCCCGTGGTGCGCGGCGCTGCATTTTTCTTCCCGCCACGCGCTCCGAGCGCGTGGCGGCTTTTTCTGCCCGTCCGTCGAGGCGCCCTCAGTGGGGCCTTCGCGCTGCCCCCCTTCGTCGCCCGTCGATGCGCCCGTGGGGCCTGCGAGCTGCCCCCCCTCCCCCCCGTTGCTCGTCGCAGCGCCTTCAGGGGGCCCGCCTGCTGCTCCCCCCATCGCCCATCGCGGCGCCTTCAGGGGGCCCGCCCGCTGCTCCCCCCCCCCCCACCCGTCGCCGACCCTGTAGCAGCGTGCGACCTGCCCGTGCAGCAGCTCGCGACGCCGCCCCTGCAACAGCGCGCGACCCGCCCCTACAGCAGCGCGCGAGCCGCCCCTGCACCAGCAGCAGCTCGCGACGCCGCCCCTGCAGCAGCGCACGACCCGCCCCTGCAGCAGCGCGCGAGCCGCCTCTGCACCAGCAGCAGCCGCCCCTGGCCCCTGGAGCAGCCGCCCCTGGCCCCTGGAGCAGCCGCCCCTGGAGCAGCCGCCCCTGGAGCAGTCGCCCCTGGAGCAGCCGCCCCTGGAGCAGTCGCCCCTGCAGCAGCTGCCCCTGGCCCCTGGAGCAGCCGCCACTGCAGCAGCCGCCCCTGGCCCCTGGAGCAGCCGCACCTGCAGCCGCCCCTGGCCCCTGGAGCAGCCGCCCCTGGCCACTGGAGCAGCCCCCACTGCAGGAGCCGCCCCTGGCCCCTGGAGCAGCCGCCCCTGGAGCAGCCGCCCCTGCAGCAGCCACCCCTGGCCCCTGGAGCAGCTGCCACTACAGCAGCCGCCCCTGGCCCCTGGAGCAGCTGCCACTGCAGCAGCCGCCCATGGCCCCTGGAGCAGCCGCCCCTGGCCCCTGGAGCAGCCGCCCGTGCAGCAGCCGACCCTGAAGCTGCCCGCGACGCCGCTCCTGGACCCTGTGCAGCCGTGGGGGGAGGGTTTGGGGGTGGAGGGTGTGGGGGTGATGAGTGTGGGTGCTACCCTTCCCCTCCTCCTCCTTCTTCATCACCCACTACTGCAGCTGCCGCTGAAGGGGTGTGGATGTGTGGGAGCCGAGGGGAGTGGAGCTAAGGGGGTGTCGTAAAAGTGGAGACAAGGGTGCAGCAAAGGGGTGTGTGAGAAGGGGGTATGGGACTGTTAGGGGAGGTAGAGCGGAAGTCGTCGTCGTGTCGTCAGCAGCGCCAGTAGTCCGGAGCCCTCGTGCTCTCGGTAGCCCAGCGAGCCTTCTTCGCCAGTCGCCTGTGGGTCCGTTGCTCCTGCCGCTCGTCGTAGCCGCGGAGCCAGATACTCCCGTAGTCCGGTGCCCTCGTGCGCTCGGTAGCCACTATGCGCGCCGCTCCTGTTGCCCGTGTGACTGCGGCTTCACGTGTCGCCTCCTATCTCCACTCCTCTCACAGTCCCTCCTCTTCCTCCTCACTACGCCTCTTCTTCTGTTGCGCCCTGCAGTGTGTACCACATCAGGGGGTGTTCTGTACATGGTTCTCACTGCAATCAATTAGGGGGTGTATTGAACTATATTTATATATATGTTCTTTATAATTGTTTGCTGTGTAGAGTGTAGCACATCCCAATTTGTTGTAGGTGGTGCACCATGCTTCTCCTTGCTACATTTTGTTCTCATCTTTCTTAATAAAGTCACTTCTTCCTGCTTCAACTCTCTCGACACCTCCTTCAACCCTAAAACCTAAGTTCTTAACCACTAAAGCTATGGCTCCTAAGCCTAGCTGTCCTTAGTCATTCGGACAGTTATTCGTATTTATGGGACAAGCTCGATGATTTCCTATTTTGGCAGAGGCATATCTTAGACATGTTTATTCTCTCATTTTTTTTCCGATTGTAAATCAATATGGAACAACGTGGGCATTTTTTGCCTTTTTGTGATTGTAATAAAATGAATGGTTAACCGAAAATTACTGTATTGTTTTATCAGGTTACTATAGCGGGTTTTATGTTTGCAACAAGGGTAAATATGCCACTTGTAACCAATATCGGACTCGATAACGTAAATGATAAAAAAAATTGCGTACGGTCACTGAATTGGGTTTCCCGACGGGTTTGGTAAGCGGGGTCACGAATTTGTCAGAATCCCAACCACTAGACCATTGGGATAAAAGGGCTTGTTTCAGTAGCGGGTCAGTGCGCCCATAACCCCCCAGGCAAACGCGCCTGTAACCCCCCTAGGATCGATCGGGGATCTCGCAGTGTAGCTCTACTGACACCCCACCCATACTGGGAGGCCCAAGACTGAGCACAGTGGCAACGGCCAACATGTGCATACGCCGGGATTCGAACCCGAGACCGCTCTGATACCATGTCAGAATCTCAACCACTAGACCATTGGGATAAAATGGCTTGTTTCAGTAGCGGGTCAGTGCGCCCATAACCCCCCAGGTAAACGCGCTTGTAACCCTCCCTATGATCGATCGAGGATCTCACAGTGTAGCTACTGACAGGATTCAGTCACTTACAACAGGTAAAAAATCACGCGAATGGTCACACATGTAACGCTCGCCAAAAATAATTGAAACTCCACAGAACTTTCGTTCGCGCCCGACCAATCTGCTAACTTCTAGCAAAAACTAAACCCAATCGGAATCGGATGCGGTTTGCGACGGATCAACCTTAAACACATGGCGAGTTGTGATTAGGGTTGATTCATCCGAAAATGCATCCAGGTTCCTCTTGGGTTTTTTTTTTTTTTTTTTGGGCGGGAGTTTCATCTATGACCATTCGCGTAATTTTTTACCAGTTGATAGTGACTGAATCCTGTAAAACATTATATATGTTGTTGTAGTTGTTTAGGCTACAGTGGGTTAGCCTATAGGGGGTACACATTCCTAGGTTTTGATACTTGTACTCATTTCACTCTTAGTTCATTCATTCTTGTTCAACATGGTATAGAGCAGGTCCTTCCTAGGACCGATTTTTTTTAGGGCCCACCACTACCTACCTACCTACCTACCTACGCCCTAGGGCGCCTCGGCTTTCACGCCCCTAGAGGCCCCGTCGGCCCCGCGCTCTCGCACCTAGAGGCCTCGGTCGGCCCCGCGCTCGCTTTTAGAGGCCCCGAATCGGCCCCGCGCTTACCCCTAGAGGCCCGCGTCGGCCCCGCGCTCGTCCTTACCGGCCCCGATCGGCCCCGCGCTCGTCCCTCACGGCCCCGATAGGCCCCGCGCTCGCCCTTAGAGGCCCACGTCGGCCCCGCGCTCGTCCCTTACGGCCCCGATCGGCCCCGCGCTCGTCCCTCACGGCCCCGATAGGCCCCGCGCTCGCCCTTAACACCCACGTCGGCCCCGCGCTCGCCCTTAGCACCCACGTCGGCCCCGCGCTCGTCCCTCACGGCCCCACCCACTCCCCGCGCTCGCCCTTAGCGGCCACGAACGGCCCCACCTGTCAGAACTTATAGCTTACTTGTTTCTGTAGGCTATAGTGGGGTATCCCATAGGGGGTACAACCCAATTAGGGTTTCCTATTTGTACTCTCTTCGTTCATAGTCATTCCATTCTCGTTCTTTGCTTTCACATGGAATCAGAGCAGGTTCCCTCCTAGGGACTGCTTCTAGGGCCCACCGAACCGCGCCCCGAGGCGCGTTTTTTTTTTAGCGACCCGTCGTGTCGCCCCTAGCGGACCGTTGCGCCGCCCTTCCCCT